GAGTAAGTTAATATTCCATTGCATATCGATCAAACATCAAAGACGCGCAATCAAAACAAAACGTTTCACGAGACTTGGCGTTATGTCTTAATTTCCGCGCTAAAACACGACAAGTCTCAGCCTAATGTTATCATCTGATACTTTTATATTAGAGGCAATTCGTAGATAACTACTCATCTAGCTAATATTACTAATGGGTAGCACAAACATGTGGAGAAATATACAGTTCGAAGAATTACGTCGTGAAACTTAAAATAGAAATCGAAAGTAGATGTCGTACCGATCTTTATTGGTTATTCATAAGATTCCTGGGGTTTGCTCGAAAAAAGTCGAACAACTGTCAATATTTGCAATTTACTTTTATTGTACGCAGTTTTCCTAAACTCAAACTATTGACAACTGTACTGAGGACAATTGTAATAGCCTAAATGAAAATTTAATTTTGTAAATCTAATTAGTGGAGTTATCAGCCCGTATCAGGTTTCGACAGGGGGTTACCCCGAAAAACTTGTCATCTGTTGTTTTATAATTACGCAAAATTTCGTCCGGAGCTCAAAATACGCACTCAAATGGCTGCAAGTCATAGTATTTCACGTTTATTTCATCAACTTTTTTATTCCAGTCTATGTTAATCTATTCACTTCGCCCGGAAGTGTTCACATTGGCCACCTAATGATTCGTTAGAAAGTTCAAGGAAGGAAAACAGAACATCACATTGTCTCGAAATTTAACTCGCAGATCTTGCGAATAAGCTTCGAATGACGAAGGTTAAACGTATCAATGTACCGCGTTACACTTAAACCACTTGCAATATCTGAACTGATTAGAACAACATCAAGTACGAAGTGCCACGCTTGGGAACAATTCTATTGACAAGGTATGTTCTTTAACATTCTTGAAACTATGTGCATACTTGTCAGTGACTGTCTAGTAATAAAGCTTGTGTACTGCTGATTTAATACGAGGCTAAGATAAATAAATGCATCCTTTTATCGATTGTTTCTATTTGTTGGAAATACCTTTTAGCATTTTAAACTCTGTACATAACACTATTTTGTCAGTTAACCTTTGTTAAAATATCATTTTGTTCGATAAAGTGGGAAACACTGTGGCCTTATAGTCATTGCAGAGGACTCCGGTCAGGGAGAGGAATAAAACACTTAGACGCTTTTAAAATGTTACGAGAACCGGAAACTCAGAGAAAAGCTGAGAATTTCCTTCTGTGATTTGTTGGACTGGAACGGACTTTAACTTAATTCAAATCCAGATTGAGACTAGGATCATCGTACGCGTTCCGGATTGGCTGTCTTATGTCGGGTAATTAAAAGAAAGTCTAAAGGTCATTCCAAGTGAACAGAAAGGTGCTAATAATTGCGCAGTATCGACTCTGGAACTGAAAGGAAACAACTTGACGAGTATACGGGTGTATAAAGACTAGTTCGCGAAGATCCAGTGTTATCAACTGATATGGGTATTTTTTAAGTCGGGTGAGTTACTATTTCATTGCATATCGATCAAACATCAAAAACGCGCAATCAAAACGAAACGTCTCGCATGACTTGGCTTAACATGTTTATATCTGCTTTAAAAGACTACAATTCGCACCCTTATGTTGTAATGTACTCTGATACTTTTAAATTAGAGGCAATTCGAAGAAAATTACTCAGCAAGCATTACTTATGGGCACGAAAAATACGGGAAAATATGCAGCTCGAAAAATTCAGTCGTGAAGCTTGAAATAGAAAGCGAAAGGAGAAGTCACATCGATCTTTGTTGCCTATTCACGGTATCTTAGGTTTTTGCTTGCATGAAGTTGGACAACCGTTAATATTTGCATCTTGCTTTTACTTTCAGTTTTTATATAATCAAACTATCGATATTTGTGGGACATTTATTGTAGCCTGCATTTGGATTTTCCGCCTAGTGTAAAATTTATGGAGTTAATCATGCAGGCCGTATCACATTTCGGCGGGGGTTTCCCCAAGGTACATGTCATTGTTTATTTACATACTCTGGCGCAAGTCACACCAATTTTTCCGTTTACTTTATCGATTTCTGTCTTTCGAATGTATTTATCTATTTACATGTCACGTGGCCCAGCGATCTTTTTTCTCGGAAAGAGGAATGAGATTCTAAATTCATTTCGGGCCTACAGGGAACTCTTTTTCTCATATGTTTTTAGAAGAACAGAGTAAAATTTGAGCAGAAACATCTTTGTACAGAGCAGGCTATTTAAAGAAAGGTTAGAGGTGCGAGCAATTTACGAGGTAAGCAACAAGGCGTGACAGGCTATGCATTTATCTGCATGCTTGCGCTAAGAAAGTGGATACGTCGTCGATTAATTAAACGTAGTGCAATTCCGAAGACATTGTCTTGTCTGTCCCGCATTGCTCATGTAACTAATTTCAATTTTTTGAGACTGGCTTCCCTTCTCTGTAAAACACTGTAATTTAACGGAGTTGACAGTGTTTTAGCGGATGTCGTTTTATTGAGGTTTCCTCGAAATTTTATAATGCTTGTTGGATCGTAACAGTCTGCATTAGTGCTTGTTGTTTGTTAGTTTGGAAATGTAAAATGCTTTAAACAGCAGACGCACTGGCAAGAAAATATATAGGGGTTGCTGT